AATTTCAGCTTCTTCTATCTTTAATATGTGTTGAGAAAAGACTGTTTAATGTATGAATACAGAGGATACGTGTGTAATTGACTTTTTGTTGCTGCACCACAAAAGAGAGTGAGCAGGTTTCCAAAGCACCACGCCTGTTGATTCCAGACATTACTGTAAACCACAGTTTTGAACATATTGTGTGTATGGGTCGATGAATGAGTGTATTATTTCCTTTTAAAATGATTTAATACATTCTTGACACATATCATTTTATTTTATAAAACCTATTTAGTTTGAATACAATTTAATTATGTAGATATTATTTATGTTTTGGAAGCTCGCACCCCCAAAATGGCAGGCAGAGCAACTGTCCCTACAAGTGAACACACACTAAGAAAAGTATTAAACATCGCATTTTAATTGTAATGAATTAAAAGTGAAATACCATGGCTATATTTGAAACCTTTCAAACATACTAAATCGTACAAATACCAATAAGGATATTTCAATATCCTGTTAACTATAACAGGATATTGAATCAACCAAAGGATCCCAACTGACCCCAACTCAACTCATAGGCTCATACACTTTCCATGTCAGGTTGTACAACAATGTAAAACTAGGAAAGTATTAGCATAAAGTTCTTTATTTCATTTAAAATCTGTATGTATGAACTAAAACATAAACACATAGAAGCTGTTTCATTTAAAATTAGTTGTAAAGTCCGGAAATGTCACTTTATGAAATGAAACATGTTATTTAAAGCTGTATTATTAGCTTTAAGTTGAATGTGTTTTACATTTAATTATTTCAGATGCCATTATCACGTATAGAAAAATCAGCACGACACTGAAAGTGAATGAATCCAGATGCAAGAGAAGCATATGTTGCTAAAATAAAACTTCAACAGTAATCAATAGAAGAATTATATATACATTTACAAATATTTGGAAATCTTTTGGGCGATTAAGTTGGAAATGCTGTTAAAAATGTACTTAAAACACTTTATTCCAGACTCAAAAATATCCATTAAATCAATTTTAAAAATACTATTTGAAAAACCATATATAAAATAAAATAAGATAAGATAAGATAAGATAAGATATGATGTTTCTTTATTGATCCCCCGGAGAAGGAATTAAAATTAGACACAGCAGCAATAGGGGAATGTAGTGCAAAGAGTACATTAGTGTATTGAAGTGTAGAATATATTTATATTCACATACATTATACACTGTAAACAATTATTTTCTTTCTCTTCATATTGTTCATATTTTACTGTTGTTATCAGGTTTGTATGTTCTCGTGCACACAGGCCTTACCTCCATAGGTCAGAACGAACATCCACAAAACGGAGAAAAACACCACAAATGCCACCAATCTTACTGCCGCCATGGTCGAGGAGCCGCTGCTGCTGTCTGAGCCTTTCAACACTTCTGCAGATTTAATTAATATACATTTTAGAGGCAGGAGTGAAAGATAGACGCAGGTGGAGCTCAGGTGTGGTGTGTTTTTCTCTTAAACTGGTTCTTCCAGCTGAGATCAGACACGTTAAAACAGCTCTGGTTTATTGTAAATATATATCACAACTTTAGTATGAACTGTTACAGAGACTAAATCCAGGATATGTAAACACCCGATATTATTATATAAAAGGAGAATGATGACGTGCCTTATGACAGCAACCACTGCACCATGTTTCAGAACTGTTTCAGTTAATCACATGGAGAAATTATTACAACATGTGATAACTAAAAGTATTTGTATGCGTATACTATTTTTAAATACACATGTATTTTAAGTTAATGAAGTAAACCGGTGGAAAACAGACATGAATGATCCAACGGCTGGAGCCAAAAACTACAGTAACATAACAGAAAATAGCTGACTGGTAAAAATACAGTAATCAATAATATAAATATATATGATTACATATCTGTAATCAAAATACAGTTTTTAGCTTGTATAATTTTTGGTCTTTTTATTTTTTAATTAAAGATATTTACACTG